GACCAGAGAAAGAGGGAAGGAAAGTGAGAAAGCGAGCTGCCAGGTCCAGGATTCAAACCCTGGTTGGCCATAAGGGAAGTCAAGCACCTTAACCACTGTGCCTCCTGCTGGCCCGTAATCTTTACTTTTTTTTTTTTTTTTGAGAGGTTTTTGCCATAGGCGCATGCGTTCGCCAGCCAGCCAGAGACAGAGACAGAAAGTGAGAAATCACCCCCCAGGGGGGATGGCCATGCCGCAATCCCTTTTCCTCCATTCTCCCCTCGGGATCTTGGACACGCACGCAACTGCGCCCAGCATGAGTTTTAAGCCACCCAGTCCGGGACTCGAACTGCGGTCGACTATGTGGGAGTCCAGCGACATAGCCATTACACTAACTGCTGGTCCCCGTAATTTTTATTTTATTTTATTTTTTTGAGAGAGGTTTTCGCTATAGGGCATGTGCGCTTGCCAGACAGACAGAGAGAGACAGAGAGACAGAAAGCGAGAAATCACCTCCCCAGGGGGGATGGTCACGCCGCAATCCCTTCTCCTCCATTCTCTTCCTGGGATCTTGGGCACGCACGCACACATGCCCAGCATGAGTTTTAAGCCACCGGGTCCAGGATACGAACTGCGGTCAACTATGTGGGAGTCCAGCGACACAGCCATTACACTAACTGCTGGTTCCTCCGTAATTTTTACTTTTTAAAAGCATATTTATTTCTTCTGAGAGAGAGAGATATAAGCACTTCCAACAGGGCCTTCATGCTCCAACCTTCAGCATCAGCCAGCCATGGACCATGTGCCTGGTGTATAGAACTGAGGACACAAGGCAATAAGCCTTATCTGCATGATGCTGGCTGTGTATTGTCAATTTTTTTTTTTTTTACAATGTATCCTTTTCACCATGAGGAAAATAAAGGAACAAACAATCCTTAAGTAATTTAATGTAATGCTAAATGGAAACATTATATTTTTAGTATAAAAATTTCCCCTAAAGCCAGCTCTGTGGTCTTAGGCTTTGCCTGGCTGCGATTCGAAACCCAGACCTGGCAGTTTGAAAAACATACTGGCACATTTGTGCATAGGTCCAAAATCTTGACAAAATGAAGAAATGGAGAAAAGATTATGGAACGAATACACTCCATTGGAAGGGGTCCTTTTTCTCTCTATGGTGAGTGCACGAGCCCACTGGCAATTAAAAAAAAAAAAAAAAAGAAATTTCCTCTAGATGTATCCTCTACCACTCATAATTCCTAAGCTTGTTCCACTGTCCCTGACCAATCGCGTCAGAATCGAAGTCTTAGAAATCAACACCTGTGTGCTCACCTGCAGGATGCCTATGACCGCTTTGAAGTATCCAACGTGGAAACATGGCAGCTCGAGGTCAATGTACCCATAGTGCCCTAGACAGTCGGCCAAGTTTTTCCCACATGTTTCACAGGGACGGTCCTTTTCACTTGTACCCTTTGGGGAAAAACACACCCATAATTAATGGATACCAGTGGATGGTAAAAGGGAACCAGCCCTCACACCTAGCCAGATGATCCAGAGTCAGAATCAACTGGGAAGCTGCAGTGAATGCACACCTAGCTGACTCAGTCTGAGGTGCTTTGTGGGGGCAGAAGGGATAGGAAAAACATCCTTACTTGCAATGTGCTAAGTCGCCAGTTTCAAATTTAAGTCAAGACACGGGAACTGGGATGGGTGCGGGCCTTACCATCCTGTGGTCAAGCACCCCATACAACAAGGGGGCATGGTTGTTGTCCTGGCTGTACAGGTTCTTACTCACAACCTGGATGTGTGCCTGTTGGCGCATCTCCTCTGGTGACTTCATTCCAAAGCAGATGTGGCTTCTAGGATGAAAAAAAAAAACAGGGCAACAATTACATCAAAGCCTGTTACCAAAATTAGTGACTTCATATGTGGCCTGCCATAATGGACCCATACTCCTCTCTCCACAGGCTCTTCCCCACCAGTAGTAAATATATTCAAACTTCTCCCATTTTTTCTCCACCAATATCCCTTTATCTTGCTGGAATCTAGTTTTTATTTTTATTTTTTTGGAGAGGTTTTTGCTATAGGGTGTGTGTGCTCGCTAGACAGACAGAGAGACAGAAAGCGAGAAATCACCCCCCGGGGGGATGGACACGCCGCAATCCCTTCTCCTCTGTTCTCCTCTCGGGATCTTGGGCACGCACGCACACGCGCCCGGCGTGAGTTTTAAGCCACCAGGTCCGGGACACGAACTGCGGTCGACTACGTGGGAGTCCAGCAACATGGCCATTACACTAACTGCTGGACCCTCTAGACCAAATTTTGACACCTTTTCTCCTTTTGGCTCTGGTGACACTATACATCTTTGAGTTCTCTTCTCTTCTCTGGCAGTTTCTCTTCCTTTAGTCTCTTTTGAGGTCTCCTCTTCCACTGCTAACCCTTAAATACTGGTGTCCATCTTACCTATCGTTACAATCTTTGTCTTCTTTTCTTTTCATTCTACATAATCCTCCTGAGTGACCCTGTCACTTGTGTGTATGCTGGTGTCTATGTGAAGCCAGCTACTTTTACTCAACAGAACGCCATATGGACACCTCCTTCTGGACAACCTCACTTGGATCATGCACCGGCACTTACAAGTCACCATCTCTAAAGCAGACCATAACACTTTCTCGTATCTGTCCTTCTATTCATTCTTCCAATAAACTGGGTGTTTATTATGTGTCAGGCACTTTCCTGGGAGCTGAGGATACAGATTAGGGAGGTCTTTCCATCATAGAGCTCACAGTTCAGGGTGGGGAAGTCTTACCTTGCTGTATGTGTTATCCTTCTAGAGGGTCTCTCCATATCCGCCAGTCCCTCATACCCACCTCAACAGCTGCTCCCTTTCAGAGCACCCCAAGTTGTTCTGGTAAAATGCGAATTAGGCTGATGGCACTTTCAGCCTAAAGTCTGGTAATAGCTTTCCATTGTGCTAGCATTTAAATTACCTAATGAAGTTCCCTCATGTATCATAAACAACCAGATACATCAAAGTGAATACATGACAAGAATAAAATGATGTGAAAAGGTGAAGTGTGAGAAGATTATGCTGCAAACAGAAAGCTTCTCTGTAAAATTGACATTTAAGCTAAATTCTAATATGCCACTCTTAAGACGATCAAGAGGACAGACATACAAAGAACCGAGAATGACCAGGACAAAGGTCCTAGTGCTAGCACAAGCTTAGCTTTTCAAGAAGCCAAATGACACCAGTACACTGGGGCACAGGAAAGTAACAGGACAAGGTGAAGTCAGGGAGGCATGCTGGGGTCAGACCATGTAGGGCTGGGGAGCTTGACCAGGAAATTTAAATGCTAGTGCAAAGGAAAGCTGCCACAGGATTTTTAGTTGAAAGTGACATGGCCTAATTTGCATTTCGACAGAACCACTTGGCTGCTCTGAATGGCAGTGGCTGTTTAGCTGGGTGTGAGTGGCAGGGGATGTGGAGAGACCCTCTAGAAACACATACAGCAAGGTAAGACTCTTGTTTTCATAAATGGCAACCATCTATGTTGTTGACCAAGCAAGGAATTCTACCTGTTAAAAAACCAACAAAGCATGCCCTGCCCAGCCTCAGTGGTGCAGCTGGCAGTGTATTGAACTGCGATGCTGGAGGCCTCATGGCCGGCTGCGGCTAGATCTCCCACCTGCCCGAGTATGCTAAAACATGCTGTGGCACGTGTGTCCAGGACTCAAAGGAGTAGAGGACTGAGGGGAGGGATTGTGGTTAGAGACCTGATCAAGGGTGTCGCTCTCTCTTGAATGCCATGTGCTATCATAAATAAAATCAGTCAACTTCCAAAAAAAAAAAAAAAGACATTCTGTAGTTTCTCTTTCTCTTCTACCCTCACCCTACTGATCCTTTCAATCTTATATTCTAAGGCTCTCTGAAGCCCTCTTCTCTCTAGTGACTCTACCAAGCCAGTGCAGGCCATCAGCATCCCATTCTTTGATCCAAGCAATGAGCTCCAAGGGTTCCCTACCTCTAATCATTTTCCCTGTGAATCAAAAGAGATCATCCAGAAGACAAAATCTTATTGAAATACTCCTCTGTTTGGAAACCTTCAAAAGTCCCTTGCTAAGGGCAAGGTGACACCTTAATTCTCCTGCATCCTTTTGATCACCCACTAATGCTCCAGTATGTTCCTTGATAAAAGATGACATTTGGTCTGCCTCCTGCCTGGACCCATTGGGCACGCTCAGAATCCCTGATGCCTACCCTTGTTGGACTTGTCACACCCGACGCTATCCTGACTATCTTCTCCAACTATACTAGGCAGCAGAGGTCTTAGCCATGTCGTGCCTTTAATGTCTAATACTAGGCCTACCACACAGTATCATCCTTAGCGTCTGTGCAAAAATGATGGATTCATCCTCCCTCGCTGCAGCTGGGGCACTATTCACTGACAAGAAAGGGTCACTGCATGACTTAGGATGACCCCGAGCTTTGGCCCAGGGCGTCCGCATCGCCAAAGCTCAGGCCATTCTTCGTCCTTTGCCCAAATCCAGGGACGAACGCACAGAAGATGAAATCCCCTCGTCCACGCCATACTCTTTGGCCTACTCTGGTACTTCAGGGCTTTGATCATACTTTCTGCCGGTTCCTGATCGTTCCCTTGAACTGCCTTTCACCTCTGACCCTTCAAAATCTGGGAGCCCGGCCCTCGCACTCCCCTTCCCCTAGCTCATTTCTCCACACTTTGTCCCCTCTTGCACCATCTTACATTTTCTTGGCCACATCCGTCTCCCGGAACTGTTCTTTCACCATGGTGACGGCTTCTGGGGCGCTCTCCTCGGAAATCCAGAGGCTAGATTAGAGAAACTACAGCCCCGCGACTCCCGAGGATGCTGGTTGACCCGGGTTAACACATTTTCTGCACCCCTTCGGCTACCGTAGAAGGCACCACGTGTCTGCTTCCTCTTCCGCTACTCGCCGGCAGGACTGTCTATCAAGACAGGCTTCCGACAGCCGCCGTGAGCTCTCTGCCCACACCGCCACCAGGCGGCGCCTCCGGGAAACTGCACCCAGGCTTGTGTTGTGCTTTAAACATCGTTTCTGGCTCATTTCTCCAGGTAGGTGCAGAGAAACAACCTTTTTGTCACAGGACTTTTATGCATCCCGAGATGAAAAAAAATCTCATGAGCTGGAAAAGCACGATTCTGCTGGCAAGGAAATCAGCACTCAGGGCTCAGCCATGTAGGACCTGGAATTAATTCCTCACTACTTGTGAGGAACTCTAAACGGAACCCAACAAAATGGTTCGACACCTTTGAAATTTACAAAGGGATGGCGTGTCGTTTCCAGATGCCATGGATCCTTACTAGTAAAACACAGTGTCACGTAAAAAGCAAAGCAAATCAGATTTTACTAACCTGTTTCAGTAGTCATTTAATATGTTTTGGGAGAAATGTTGACAATAATATATCAATCAGATGTGTATAATCAGTGACATCATCTAGAGGTTAAAATCGAAGGTCTAGCGTATGGACTGGCTTGCGGATCACACCGAGCATATGTGCATGTTGTCATAAAGCTCAGGAGAATGCAGAAGGGATTGAGGTACCGCCATCCCCACTGGGAGGTGATTTCACACTTTTCTTCTCACTGTCTCTCTGGTGAGCGCATGCACCCTATGGCAAAAACCTTAAAAAAAAAAAAGGTGAAGATTTAGGTACTTCTACTTAAAAATTGTATGACCTAAGCAAAAATATGTAATCTATGTCTAAGTTTCTTCATCAATAAAAGAGTTATTAGGTAACCTATTTCTTTGAGTTCGGGCTAGGTGCAATGGTTAAAGGCAGGTAAAAATAATTAGAATACAATAGGCACATAGCAATCACTCAATGATTACATATACACATTTATCTTTTTAAGAGAGGTTTCTTTTTGCCTATGCAGGCACTTGAACCTTGTATCAACCGTGGGAAAGTTCAGCGTCTGAACCACCTCACCACCTGCTGGCCCCTGCATTTACATCATCTTCACTGGTCTGTTTCACTTAAAGCAGAACAAGTTTCTGGATCAAGTAAATGCTTATTAAAAGTTCGTTTTGTGTAAGAATTAAGAATTTCAGAAAGACAAATTAAAGAATTACAAATTTTAATTAGAATCAACACAGACATCTCAAAAAATATTTTATAAATGGTAAATCAAAACGGGCAGTGTTGTGTAGTTGAAATGACAAAGGTTTGAACCAGTCTCTGCAGTATCCCTCGCTTGAGAAAATCTTACAAAATGTCTTCTAGGTTTACCCACCACTAACTCAGATGGAAGCAATCCAAACCAGAAGTTGAAACTGCTTGGTTAACCTGAGCTATTCCGGTTCCGGATTGGCCAGTCCAGAACCCCGTAGGTGTGGTCAAAGGCTGGTGAGGCGGGGCTTAAGCGCTTTTAATCAGGCATTGGCGTGGTCGGCCTTGCGATCCTGGCCACGCCCTCACGCCGGCGCCGCTCGGGGTCCTTCCGTACGCGTTGATATGATTGGCCGGAGGGTAGCGGTTCTCTTTTCGTCCCTGGCTGCTTGAGGATATACCGCCATCATGGTGAGTCTCCCTGGACTCGTCCCGTCATCCGCTGTGTATCCGAGCCATCCTTCGCCCCCACAGTCCCGTTGTTTGAGATACGGTCGCCACAGCCCGGGTGCTCTTTTTTGACCCGTGTCTGACAGTGGCCAAGGGCCTTGAGGCCATTGGCGAGGATGGCGGACTTCTGTCTCCGGGCTTGGGGACTGAGGGAAAGGCTGCTGCGTGTTGACTTCGTGGAGTAGTGGGTGGGGTGGATGGGGTAGAGGATGGACCCTGGAAGGCACGTCCCGCTTGCAGTCGCAGATAGAGATTGGCATCTCGCAGGTGATGGCAGCTGGAGAGGCAAGGGGGTGCCGGCGGCGCCCAAGCTTGTCGCGGCGAGTGTGTATCGCTCGCGTATGTAAGCTAGAAAACTTGTCAGCTGAGCGGGTTTTCTTGTCTCACCTTGAAGGAAACCTAGTCCTGCGCAGACAGGCCGCTTATAGATGTTCTCCGGACTCGGTCACCACCAGCCAGCTCCGTCACTAAAGGCTCAGCACCTGTTAGCTGGACCCACAAGCTAGTTTCCCCCTTATTCTTTGCCTTCAAGAATCGAATGCTGGGACTAATGTTTAAAATGTGGTGGCGCGGTGGTTAAGGCGATGGACACTCACATGGCTGTTTGCGGTGCGAGTCCCGGACCTGGTGGCTTGCTTTCTCTCTGTTTCTCTGGTCAAATTAAAATAAACGTATGAATAAATAAAGTTAAGTGGGTAATTATTAAAACAAAAAAGAATCGAATGCTATCGAGATGAACTTAACTTGCCGAGATTTCTGCAACTCCATTGGGAAAAGGCTTAGCAAGTCAGTTATTGTAATGAACGACCGCCGTCCCACACATCGTTATTTTCACTCAGCGTCAGCTCGCTGACTGCCCACCTTCCCTGCTAGTTAGTAAGAGGGAGCTGTTAGAGGTCATCCAGAAGGGAATACCTTGTGAGCTCTGTGTTGTCCTTTCTGGAAGGGTAGATTACATGCAAGTGGCGAGCGCGGTGTGTATTTGTGTCACATTTGGGTAGGGTGTTAGGAACATGGCTCTGTGGTCCAGAGTAGTCTGTACTCCCAAGAAGTGGTTTTTAATCAGAGTTGATTTTGCCACTAAAAGAACAGATATCAAAGACTGCAGGTATGTTTTTTTTTTTGGAGAGGTTTTTCGCTATAGGGCACATGCGCTCGCCAGACAGACAGAGAGACAGAAAGCGAGAAATCACCCCCCCCCCATGGATGGTCACGCCCCCCGGCGCGGGGTTTAAGGCCCGCCCGGCGTGGGTTTTAAGCCACCGAGTCCGGGACGTGAACTATGGTCGACTACGTGGGAGTCCAGCGACATAGCCATTACGCTAACTGCTGGTTCCCAAGACTGGAGGTATGTTTTGATGGTCACACCTGAGTGGTAGGGAGTGATACTGTCAATTGATGATTAGGGTCCAGGAGTTCTTATAAAGTACACGGAACAATCCTCAGAAAAAGAATTATCCAGACCAAAACATGAGTGCTGAGGTTGTGAAACTGCTAGAGAGTGATACTCACAAGAACATTAAGAGCATCTCTCTTTTTTTGGTATTTTTAGTTTGTTTGCTGTGTCCCATGAATTTGGAACTGTGCTGAGTAGATTAGGAGGAGATAGGAATTTGTGCCTTTTTCTTATTGAAGCTTTCCTGCCATTATCTCATGAGGCTCTTATTTGGAGTGTGGCTACTACAACTGAACTACTACATTTTAAACATTAGTCACATGGTTCAAATCGTTACCATAATTCTAAGTCTTAGGAAATCACAGCAAAGTTAAGAAAAGGTAGATTAGTTTTATTAACTAGTGTGTTAATGTTTTCAGAATGACACAGTAACTATCCGAACCAGGAAATTCATGACCAACCGACTACTTCAGAGGAAACAAATGGTAAGGAGGAGCACGTCAAAAATTAAATTGTCTTTTAAAAATGTATTTTGTGGTGATAGGCACTAAAGTTCTTCTCTCTTTTAGGTCATTGATGTCCTTCACCCCGGGAAGGCAACAGTACCTAAGACAGAAATTCGGGAAAAACTAGCAAAGATGTACAAGACCACACCAGATGTCATCTTTGTGTTTGGGTTCAGAACCCATTTTGGTGGTGGCAAGACAACTGGCTTTGGCATGATTTACGATTCTTTGGATTATGCGAAGAAAAATGAACCCAAACATAGACTTGCAAGAGTAGGTACCTTATTTGTTTAGTTACAAAAGGCTTTTTAATCGCTTTGTGGTGTGGGTATAGTAGAATGAGCAAGACAGAGTGGTTGGGAGGGACTACATACAGACATACTGAGAACTTTTAAGAGGTTAAAGTTCTTTGAGGGTTGTTCTGTGGCTTAGTGAGTGAGGAAGTAGAATTCTACATAGCTGACTGTGTGGGTTGAATCTTGGCCCTCGTGGCTTGAGAAACTGCCAGGTGCATGTGCCTGTGTGCCCCAAATCCCAAAAGGATGGAGGAGAACAGATTGCACCATGGCCTTACCCAGTGGGGGTACTCTCTCCCTCTGCCTCTCTGTTTCTTCATCTGTCTTTGGCGAGTGCATGTGTTCTCTGAGCAAAGGGGGAAAAGTTTCTTTGATAAAGACACAGGTAGAGTATGATGGTTCAGAATTGGAATCTGGCATTTGAGCTGGATTCAGC